AAAAAAGGAATTCCTATGCATACAGCAAATAGATTACAATGCTGGGGTACCATCTTATTAAATTATGATTTCAGGATGGAATACCAACTGTCTCAAAAATTAGGACATGCTGATGGTTTATCAAGATTGATATAAAAAATACTTAACCGTTTGAAGACATGGTAATTGCAGCATTAAAAAGTGAAATAGAATTTTAAAATATATTATGCAATGTAGTACATGAAGTACCTGTTACCCTGGAAGAAATAAAAGTAAAACCAGAACAAGACATGTTTATTTTGAAAATAAAAAAAATAAAAAAGTAATTAAAAGAAAGCAAGAAAGATAGAGGATTTTTAGAATGCTATCCAGACTTAAACACTTACTCACTATGTAATGGAGTGCTGATGTTTGTATAAATAGTAGTAATATGTATCATATTACAAAAATAGATATTAAATGAATTTCATAGTGGACATCTGGGAATTTCAAGGATGAAATCTCTTATGAGAACCTATGTATACTGGACCAAAATGGATCAAGACATTGAAAAATTAGTAAAAGCCTACAGAGGTTATGCTCTGGCAGCAAAATCATCTACCACAAAATTACAACCTTGGCCAAAGTCATACTCTGTGGTCAAGACTGCACATAGATTTTGCAGGTCCAATAAATGGATCACATTATCTTGTGGTAGTGGATAGTGTTACTAAGAGGCCTGAAATTTGTAAGTGCAAAAAATCAACTTCTATGATTACAGTGAATTTTTTACACAAACTTTGCAAGATATGGCATTCCAGATGCCATAGTCTTGGATAATGGTACACAATTCACTGCTTATGAATTTAAAGAATTTTGTAAAATGCTTTCGATTGAATATATTACTACCCCACCGAATCACTCATGGTCAAACAGACAAGCTGAACAGTTTGTGGGTATTTTCAAGAGAGCTTTGAAAAATCATGTAAGGAAAAAGTGTGAACTTCACTAACCAATTCCTACAAATGTTACACAAAGATATAGAGAAAGTATATTTGAAAGCATTTTAATTAACATTCCCATGAAAGAAATGAAAAATAATATTGAAATAATAAAGAAAGATTGTCCACATCTGCTTCTTACAGAATTACAATGAATCATTCATACAAAAAGTAAATTAGTAATGTTAATAATATAAAATGGCGAATTCACTTTGCTAACTAAATTTTAAAGATGCATTAACCCACTAATCACTCGATGAATGTTATGATCCTTGTTTTTTAAAATTATAAACTGTATTAGGTCTTCCTTAAATATGCAAGTACTTTCGACAGTTCCTCTGGTCATCATCAGGCATGGAAATTATTTTGTTTTTGGTAAAATTCAGGTAGCATCCGAGATGCAAATCGAAATATTTTTTTTTTTTTAAATGTGTTATTAATAATGAATACAAATTTGGGGAGTATGCAGTTGCAACGCTAAGGTTGAATTTTTGAAAATTTAAGTGAGTGTGTTTTTTTTTGTTTTTTGTTGTTGTAGGAGTTTATCAGTCAATGTGGCATGAACGTAGAGTAATGTATGAAAATTTGCAGAATGTAGGTACACTAGGTCAATGAAAAAATTGAGATACAGTGAGTCCCCTGTATTCACAGGGGTTAGGGACCAGAACTGGCTGCGAATAGTTAGAATCCACAAATACTTGTAACCGCCCAAAAAGTGCTTATAAGTATCTATTTTGATTGTTAAAACCCCATATGCCTTAAACTTTCACCCTAAACACTTTAGAAACTTTCCAAACCCTTTTTAAAACATTTTTGAAAAATAGTGTTGGTGACCATACATTTAGCATAAATTTTCTTTCATACATACAATAACCAATTTAATCATGCATAGATTGACACAACCATTGAAAATACTGTATAAAATATGTGTAACAAGACATAAAATATAAAGTTTAAAACATTTTCTAAAAACAGAACTGTGATGATACCCCCAGACTTAGCATAAGCCACTTTTAAGACCCCAGCCGCAGCCCCTAAAAAAGAACAAAGCTCAAACACTATGCATATTTTTGTGTTTGTTTTTTTACAATAAAGATGTACAATTCTGGCAATTTTTATCATAAAAATGAACTATTATATATTTTAAGTCCCTTAAATAGCAGGAAAATAATGCAAGTATATTTTAAATATGTTCTATTGGAAAAATACGCAAATCGAGGGGTTCTCAGCGAATAATTTGTACATATGTTCTTCAGAAAAACATGAATATTCAGGGTTTCTATGAATAACAAGTACAAACGTTCTGAAACGTGAATAGGCAGGGGCTCACTGTATATATTGTATATTACTAGACCATTAGACAAAATAAAAACATGAGAAAAATGTTAAAAAATGGAATTTTTGGACACACCTGTGTCTTTTCTCAAAGCAAAATAAAAAAAAAAAAATTTTGTTCCCCAAAATTCCAATTTTTAACATTTTTCTTTTGTTTTGCCTAATATATATATATATATATATATATATATATATATATATATATATATTTTCTCTTTTTTTTCTTTTCTCTCTCCTCTCCTCCCATTTTAATATATCACTTCCGTTAAGTTAACCGTTTAAATAGGTCAAGGTCTGGTCACTCCTCCTCCCCCAATACTAAGTATGATTGAAAGAATTATTAAATTAAACCCTCCCTATACTCTACCATATCTCTTTAATTATCCCTTTTACAATCTCTGTTAAATTACAAAAGCTTACACTACCCATCAATTTTAATTTCATTTTTGGAAGTGTTATCTGATGATCCGGCGTCCTTTAAAAGGGCTCTGGTGAAATAAATTATTATAATGGTACCTTAAAGGGGTCTGTTTTTCTTTAATATATATATATATATATATATATATATATCATTTCACCCCAAGCAAGGCAGGAATACCACTAGTACACAGGGGTTGAAAATGAAAGAAAAGACTTAGTATAGAAAGGATTGAGGAAAGACATAAGATGAATGGGATTTAAGAAGATAGAAGATGGCAATTTATATTTTTGAAGATTTATCAGGGAAGCAAGTAAATGGAAGAGATTTCCACAGGTGGAAAGTGTGAGAAAAGAAACTGTTGGAGTAGAAGTGGTTGTTGCATTTAACTATTTCAACTGTAAATGGGTGGAACCTAGTTGCTAATCTAGTAGCATGCTTAAATTCATGTAGTCAGGGCCCCAGGGAGAAAAAAAAAAGCTCGTCAGAGCAGTTGTCATGAAAATATTTGTAGAAAAGACAGAGGGAAGACATGTTGCATCAGTGAGAAAGTGACTGATGTTGAGATGCCAAGTCAGGATCGTTTACATTGCAGATCCTTCTTTGGATTTTGTCTAGAATATTGAGATGAATAACAGGAGCACCAGACCAGATATGGCTGCAGTATTTAATGCACTGACAAGTGATAGATTTGTAAATGTGCAAGATGGACTCTGATGAGAAAAATTTTCTGACACAACACAATAAGCCAACTTTTCTTGCAGTAGATGCAGCTATTGATTCAATGTAGTCACTTCATTACAAATTAGTTGAAAACATGAAACCAAGATGGCGCAGTGTGTTGGTCCCCAGGAGTCTAGCCTCAGCCATGCTGATGGCAGGCAGAAAAGTTTCCCTATGGTGGTTAAATGAGAGCAGTTTTGTTTTGTAGGCGTTAAAATTTACAAGCCATTTCCTACCCCAGTTAACCACTGATTGGAAGTCCTGACAGCAGCTAGATTTACTTTCAGCTCTGATGGATTTGTTATTAAGTAAATGGTAGTGTTATCTGTATAAATACCTACTTGGGAACGGATGATATCAGGAAGATCATTGATGAAGATCAGAAACAGCACAGGACCCAGGATAGAGATTTGCGGTGGTGGGGGACATCCACATTCATATGAAAAGATCTGTAAGCGAGCACATTAAAAACTGTCTTCTCTTCATGATTTGATAGGAATAATTGGATTAAATCAAACAATCATCCTGTAATACCGTAGCCTTGAAGTTTGCATAGAAGACCAGCATGCCAAACCCTGTCAAATGACTTTGAGATATCTAAAGCCACAGCTTGAGCTTTGCTGTTATTATCAAGAGCTTGATATACATATTCAGTGATGGCTGTTAACACATCAGCAGTAAAGACCTGGTAAAACAAAAGCCATGTTGTTTGTCCAAGAGAAGGTTGTGAGTAGTAAGTTACACACACACACACATATATATATAAAGAATATTTTCATTCAAGCAGTTTTGGTTAAATAATTTAGTGTATTATGTTTGTTTATTTTAGTTTTAATCCTTTCAAGTCCACAAATTAATTTCTTGGTGGCTGTAGAAAATTGATTATAAAAAATTTTCTTTCAAATAATTTTTATTTTCCCAAGTACTTTCAATCTCATCTGAGACCATCTTCAGGGGATTATCTACAGATACTTTAACAATAATTAATAAACACCAGCTCATTTTATATAATAATGCAATCAGCCTTACATTTGTTGTCTTTTGAACAGGAGTAAAGGTTTATCCCTTGTTCCCTGTTTAGGATTGGGTTTCCAGTTCCTTATAAAGTCTTTTCATTCTCTTCCACTACTAGTAGCTTCTTGTATTTGAGTGGCATTATCACTTTGCATGGGGTGACTTGTTTAAAAAAAAAAAAAAAAAAGAATAAGTGGCTTATAAATGATGTTATAAATATAATTTAAAACTATGATGTTTAAATACCAAGTGCTATGATGAAAAAGAAAAAAAGTTTTCTTAAATTTCAAAATCATGTTTTCCATTCTTGTAACTGACAAATGATGGTTGAAAGCACTCTAACATATCTATATGGACAATTATTACATAGTGGAGCCAAATATAAATTATAGTGTATAAAAAATCATTGGAACAATCTTTGTGGCTTTTAATAAAACATTTAAAAAAAAAAATGTGTGTATGGTATTAGGTTGAGAAAAAGTTTTTTTGGTCTAAGTAACAGACACTTCCATTCTGGAATAATTCTCTGTTTTGCTCAATTGTTGTTGTAGGCCAAGAAAAATGGTGCAGATGCAGTGGAATTTGATGTTGAAATCACTAGTGATGGTTGTCCTGTCCTTATGCATGATGACACTCTTGACCGTACCACTGACGGGACTGGGTTTGTACGAGATCATGCCTATGAACAAATTAGCAAGTTGAATGCAGCTGCCAAATACAAAAACAGGTATTAAAAAAAATATATTTCCTCCTCTGTTAACAACTGACAAAATATCATATGAAGAATTTCTTTGTTTCTCTAGCAGGGAATTGGAACAATTTGTAGATGAATATGAGCAGTGAAAGCAATGATTCTCTTGGGACAGAGATATTTTGCTGATATGACATGACAGAAAAATATCCTGGTCATAACTGATTATATATAGGTGCCGCCAAAAATGAGCACACATGATGAAAAAAAATGTCCCAAACTTAAAGAGTTATTATCAAAATCTTTGTTATTATTAATGGAAAAGATCAAAGGATTTTTTTATTATTAAATTATATTTTTAATGCTCTTTAGAACCTTCAAAGCTTTGATTAAAAATTTTGTATTTCTTGCATTAATAGCTGACCATAAATTAGTATAGGAAATTTTAAAATTTTTGCCGTGAAAAAAAACATTGATTTGTAAATTCTTGAAAAATCAAATAATTGTTGGATTATAATGCAAATTTCAGGATTTATTCGCAAATGAATGAAATTATTTTAGAAACATTTCTTTTTTATAAAATCTTGGTAAAAAAAATTTTTTTTTACACATGTTACCTCTCATTTAATTTTATGAAATTTTTAGAAATTCATGTTTGTAAAGCTTAATGTACAAAGATGGAGAATCATGCTGCACTGAGAACCCCCCCACAAAAAAAAATTACATGTTTTACATGTGATGGGCAGAATCACCTGGTGAGAAACTGCATGAGTTGAGGAGGAGTGTGCAGGTTTCATGTTCAGTGCAAACTCAAACAATTGTGATGCTAAGTTTACTGTAATTACCACTTTTTTTGTTGACATCATGCCTGAATGTCTTACAAAAATTTATACACACAGAAAAAAAAAATTCAAAATTCTTTTTAAAATATTGGGAGTTGCTGAATTGTAGTCAGTTTTTTATTCTTGATTAGTAAATACAGATTTTACTTAATAACAATATCACCTAACTGCTATAAATTAATACAGAATTTTAAAAGATTTAAAGCTTTATAAATTATTCTAATTAAAATTATTGTACAAATTCATTGATTATCAAAATTTTTTTCTTAAGACAACAATGTCCATAATATATTTTCTTCATAAAAGCAATTAAAAGCTTTTCTAATTAAATAATGTCTTAGTTTTATTGCATTTTTTATTTTACAATTCAGGGCAGATTTTCTCTAACTGGGGATCCTGTTTGACAAAAAAATATGATTTACATTCAAGGACTTGTGCTTATAACTAGTTATAAACAGTTAGCTCTACAAAAATGAATTTCTCAATTTTATAATATTAAATAAGTTGAGGGTTTCAGATGTAAAAAAAAAACTTTTTACCAAGATTTTTTTAAGAAAGAAATGTTTAATTTATTTGTGAATAAGTCCTGAATGTTTCATGAAAATATGACAGTTGATTTTTGCAATCAATGTCCTTTTCACTGCAAGAAAACTGTTAAAAATTCCTACTCTCTCTCTCTTATATATATATATATATATATATATATATATATATGTGTGTGTGTGTATATATATAGGGCACAACAGATAAATTATCGTCTAAATCACACAAAAATGAAAATAAAACTGACATCTTATCTTAACAGATATATTTACCAAAATTACACGAAAATATCTTGAAATACTAAAGCAAATTTATTGAATAAAATTGCCATTGTCTTCAACCAGGGCCTTCAGACAACTTCGGAATCTCCTGCATTTCTAGTGGATGGTCTCCTTGTTTAAGTTGGTGAATGCTGCCATAATTCTTGCCTTCAGTTCATCTTTGGTGTTATAAGGAGGTTTGTTGGTCTCTTGCTCAACTGCATCCCACATATGATAATCAAGGGGGTTGCAGTCTGGGGTGTTAGGTAGACAGATGTAAGGGGTGATGTGGTCCTGGAAATTGTCTGCAAGCCATGTTCTTCTGCCTTTGTGGTATGGTGCAGAGTCCTGTTCCCAGACATAGTCTTCCAGCCGCCACCCTCTTGATCCAGGGCAGCACTACCTCCTAAAGGCACTTGATATAGGCCTCTGTGAGAAAATGAATGGAGGAGTAACATCGCCATTACTAGTGATCACTCCAAACACCATGATGTTGGCTGGATATATCATCCAACTCTTTCCAAATCCTCTGCATGGTCCTCAGATTGGCAACCAAACACTCTAAATGTTTGTATTGGAACTTCCGGTGTGAATGCCAAGTAGTACAGCATGCTGTTTCTAAATTTCTGGTGAAGTGAATTGCATCATGGTGCTCTTTTTCCACAGATGGTGCCTAATTGACCTTACTCTACAAAATCAAAAACAATGCACATGTGCAAAATTAAAAATATAAAATGGCGACAATTTATCCATCGCACTCAGTACACACACACACACACACACACACACACACACACACACACACACACACACACTACATGCTGTCTTTTTCATGGCTCAAGCATTCTTCAGACGATTACTTGAGATGAGAATCTGTCACCATACAGTGTTCATTTCTATGTCCACACTGTCTATAACTACAAAAGCTCAATCACCAATATTGATCACTTTCCCTTGTAAATGTAGCAAATTAGTATTATCATATTTTCTGCTCGATAATGCACAGGTTATACACCAATTTTAACCATTTTGGAAAGGACTGTGATTTAAATAACCATACAGGGTGTAGGGTAATTTTTTTCCTGTAGCTTTTCAATTTGACTTTGGACATGTAAACTTTCCCTCCAACACTAAATGGTGATAAAACATCTACAAATTGAAATGGAATAGAGTAAATACTTGACTTTACCCTTACACATCAGCAGGAGGATCATTTGATGTTGCTTACCTTTTTTCTTTTCTTCTTTTTTAAGTCATCAACTTATTTTCATTTCTTTGATATTCCAATTCAGTGAAATGTAATTTTTTCTCATTCAATATTGATGTTTGCTTTGGTCTTCTTTTATATGCTGTTTACCATCAGGATGTGAATCTCCACAGCTTCTTATCCTTTCTAATTCTAAATAATGTTTGCCTCTTTACTATTCCTCCCAGTCCACATTCTACTATTCATTTACACAAGCCCATTAAATAGGTTGATCATGGCTCTCCACAACTTCCTATCCTTTCTAGCTCTAAGCAATGCTTGCCTCTTTACTCTCTCTCCCAGTCCCTGTTATGCTATCAATTTTTATACAATCTCATTAGGTTACTCGCTGTTTCCCTCTGTTTCTTTTCCTTTCAAGGTTCTCTGAGTGTGAAATTCTCCAATCTGTCAATGATCAATGTAAACACATTACCAAAGCAAAAAGAAAGAGGATTTATCTAACCTTTTCTGCAAGGTGTCGTAAGAGAACTAGAAGTTTTATCAAGATTTATTACTGGTGGCACAATCTTAACAACATAAAATATACCGATGACAGTGTTGATGGCAAATAGAGAACAGAAACTAAAGCATAATAGGAAAGGGAAGTGAGAAGAACGAACTAAGCATCAATTGTAAGACGACAGAATATGTATGGTTGTCAGCAAGAGAAACAGATGCACATTACAAACTGGAGATGTCAAAATAAAACAAGTACAGAAATTTAAATATCTGGGAAGTGTTTTAACAGAGGACGGAAAATGTGACACAGAAATCTGAACGCATATTAGAATAGCAAAAGATGCCTTCCAGATGCTTAACAAAATATTAAGAAACAGGAAAATTTCGTTAGAAACAAAAAAAAAAAGAAAGAGTACTGGAGTTTTATATAATATCAATTCTCATATGGCAGTGGATGTTGGACAATTTCCTCACAGATGAAAAAGAAACCTAAGGCAACAGATGTGGTTTTACAGAAGGATGCTGAGAATGCCATGGACAAAACATATGGGTAACAAGAAAGTTTTAAGAAAAATGGAAACAAGAAGGACACTTATACTTCATACTGGAAAGTGCAGCACTGAAATCTGCAGGTGCATTGTGTTATACTCGGTCACAATTAGATCTCTTCTGATTTATTCTGCATGCCGTCCAGAAATAAAGGAAAAGGTCATTTTCTGTGCATAGGCTCCGAGCATCACATCTAGTCCATGAAGCAAGCCCCACTGGAAAAGGAGATGCTTCTGGGGATTGCCAGATTTGCTTAAAAGCAGGCTGCCTATGACAGCCACAAACAGTTGTGGGCCATCAGGCCACCTGCCGACACACAGGACACTGTTGTCACTATGACTACTCTTCTCAACACAAATGTTACCACTCCCAGGCTTGACTATTCACCCAAATTCACATACAAAAATAACAGCCCAGACTCAACAACACCCAGCCCGACTCTGCAAGCGACTCTGACTCTACAAGCATGCAACCCACTTTGCTACCACTATTTCATAGGAAAAAAAAAACTAATTGAAAAATTTGATACTCACAGAACAGAATGCAGGCAAGTGGGCAAAAGAAAACAATACATAACCTACATAGCAAGCTTGAGTAAATGGATAGTGGAACAAGGTTTAGGAGATAATTTACTAAGAGCTATAAAGGACAGGAAATTGTGGAGAGCCATGATCGGCAACATCCTGAAGGAACACAGCAATTATTTGTTGTTATCTGTTTTAAATTTCTATGTTTGACAGACATTTTTTTATAAATTTATGAATAAAAAAAAATTTATTTTCATATTTATTTACTTCTTTATTAATTCATAAATGATAAACATTAAATTGTATTAGTTGGTTCACATTTTTAAAACAATGTAAATATAATATTGTTCTTATAAATAAACAGTATTTAATATTTTTGTTGTCAATTCTCAAAGAACAAAGATGTATAAATTCATTTTCATATGTTTAGGTTTTATTAAAATTCTAATCATTCTTAAGATGCAGGTGATATTTAGATGCTTGTGAACTTTTAACAAATTTTCAAATGTTTTAGGTTATATTATGGGTAAATATGATATTTATAACAGATGATAAAAATAGTTATTGGTACTTTGGAAATAATTAATTAATTTTAAAATTATTTAAAGGTAAAAAGCAAATTTCCCAGTTTTTCTCTTGTGTTATTATTTTAATTTTTAAAAAGGTTTTAGACATTAATCAAATTGAAAGTATGTTATTTGTTTAGAAATCTTTCCAGTCCAATTTTGTTCTTATTGCTTTTATCACCATAAAATTTTAATAATTGTTTCATGAGTTTATGGCTCATGTTATTGGTAATGTCTTTTTAATACCTTTTCTGAATCTATTCAAATTTTTCTAAAATTCCTATATAAATTCAAAAGTGTACACAAAATGGAAGGAATATTTTAATTGTTCAAATCATTCCAGAAATATTTTCATAGTTCATGAAAATTAGAATTAGAAATAAGTAAAAAATAAAGTAGAAGAAAATTAAAATTTGAATATTTATGTATTATTTGTCATTAATTATTTAGCTTGGGCATAAAACATTAATTTATGGTAAAAACAACCTTGAGAATATCTATTGGTCTTCATACCCCGTCTACCTCAGTAGTTCTAGTATTTTCTTAACGCAGTTATCTCCCTTTGAATTGAGATCTGTCTCTTTTCCTTCAGAGAATTGTATCCTTATGTGAAAGTTCCAAGCCTTGATGAAGCTGTCAGAAAATGTTTGGAATTGAAGCTGAAAATGTTTATTGATTGTAAAAAATCCTCAGCACAGGTTAGTTTTTTATTTGTCAACAAGACGTGCTTTCCTTGCTGACTTTAAGTAGCTTCCTAGAATAAAATTCTTAATTTTAAAAGATTAGTAACACAACTATCAAAATTATTTTCAAGTTATAATAATATTTGATAAAAAAAGTCTGAATTTTGTTTTTAACTGATTATCTTGGCACTTTTGGCAACTGTTTATTCTCACTAATAATAAATTGTTTTTTTCGTTTTTCAGAGAAGATTAGTTATAAAGGACATTAGAGAAAAGAATGTTATTTCTGTCCTATAAACACTTTATTGTTAATAACTGTAAAAAGAATTAACAAATTGTTTGGATGCTTAAATCTGTATAGTTGCTGTTAACACACTGGTTTGGCTGATTTTTTTCTTCAGCCTTTTTCAAGTGTAATCTGTAAAAGAAAACCTCTTCTCTCCAGAAAAGTATCAAATGGCATAAGTTATCATTATTGCATCCACAACACTTATCTATTTTTATTGTTAGGTATGCAAAATGCTGTGATGATGCCAAACACTGACTTTACTAAGCAAAAAAAACTTAATGTTTAAATCCATGCTAACTTGACACCTGAACTTTGTCAACAGGCTAACTGCTTTCTTTAGGTTTCTCATTCCTTAAAGATATTGTCAGTTACATGGACCTCATCCAAGAGATGGTAATGTGTGTCCTTCTTCCATCAGAGCAGAATTTTCCACTTCACGTTTAGTTTTAGCTTTCTTGTGTTCCTCAAGTTTGACTTTAAGAGAATGACTGATAAAGCCCCCTCCCCCCGCCTTGCCATTGTTGCCTCTAGTATACCTTACCACGTATGCAAGGTTTGTTACCAGTAAGGTTATGAGGAGTTGACTTAACTACCTCATGATTTTCAAATTCATTTACAAATCCTTTCAATCTGTTCCACCTCCTCATCTTACAAGAAATGTTTGCTGTATCTTCACAGAAAGTTGCACTCGAATATCCATCCAGGGTTGTATCTATAATGAAGAGAGTGTTATGTTGGATGATGGTATGATGGGGTACTTAAAAGTTTTTAAAGGCTTCTTGGGCTGAAAATTTTTGCTGCACCCTCTCATGTTAATGTCTGTTTGTGGAGTAATTGGCCATGGTTAAGTGTAATTGGCAAAAGTGCTCAACAAACGGAATTGACAAAGTTCTCAATAAAGAATAAGAAAAGGAATGAAGGAAGAAAAACAGTGCAAAATAATATTAAGCAAACAATATGCTTCCCTTGTGGCTTCTATTGCTTTGCTTGGGGTGAAATGATGAAAAAAAAAAAAAGAAATATGCAAGTCAAAAACTAGGCAAAGCAACAGTAATAAGGCAAAAAGTTCACAAAATAAAAAAGAATAATATTCATGCCCAAAAGGGATACAGTCAGGTGATTGTAGCATTCTGACTTCACGACAAAAAGGAACAATGGCAGATGGGACTGAGAAGTGGTTCATTTTTATCGGTTAGGAATAAATCCCAGCATGCATCTGTAGGATTTATCTATATATTTTGGAGAGGGGAAGTTTTTAGTATTCATTTCTTTTCAGTTTCAACCAACATTTAATTCTTTATTTCAGCTTCACTGAATCACAGTTGATGCATTGTGCTTACTGCTGAAGGCAATGTATCAGTGTTGCTTTGTTATTTTCTTCACTCAGAAAAGATAATTTGATTCATAGTAGATATAGCCCTGTATGCATATTTTATTTTATTTTTTTTGTACATAATATCCTCTTCTTGTACAAAAAAATGTATTTATTCACTATTGCAAACTTTATGGAAGATTGAATAGTTTACATGATTTAGTTGGTCATGTATTACCTCATGGCAGAGTCATAGAATAAAAGTTTCATACATGTACATTAATCTGACTAACTGCTTTAACATAGTGGACCATAGACCTAGATCTTACCAAAAAAAAAAAAAAAATAGTAAATATTTGTGAGCTCCATAGACAGTGGAAAATTTATTGCCACACTTTCTTCTGGTCCAAGTTGGAAATATATTGTGTATACAGAAAATGTTAACATTTTCATAAGATTAAGATACCAGTACAGATCCACAAACTCATAATTTTCTAGCTTTTCACAACATATATTCAAGGTTTCCTATGTTGGTACTTTATTAAAAAGCTCTTATTTTATATACCTTATATACTTGTGTATAAGCCGATCCCATGTATAGCGTGACCCCTGAAATTATTTTTTTTCATGAATTTTAACCCATCCAGAAAAACTTAGTGTAATCAGTCACTGAAAATGTATGATTTTTAACCTCTTCAATAAAAAAAAAAAATTAACTGTGCAGCTCCCACTCCACTAAAAGCTGATTATAAAAACTCACATTATACTCTAATATATATGGTAATGAATTCTATAAATTTTTTTTTTTTTTTCAGACTGTTGTCGTATTGCGGCAACTATTTGACAAATACCCTGCATTGTATAAAGAAGCAGTTGTCTGCTCCTTTTTCCCAAATGTTATCTACAGAGTAAGAAATTTTTTTTTCATTCTCTCTATTGCCTTTTTTTCCCTATTTCTTTCCAACCCTATGTTACAAATTGTTCCATAACACACTTTTTGTCTGCCAAATCAAATTATTAAACAATTTCATTTAAATCTTAGCCAGAATTTATTGCAAATTAGATTTAATTACACAATATTCTTTTCTTATTTGATCTAACAAGAACTTAGATTTTTAAGAATTTTACATGAATATTTTATCAGTTTTCTGGAGAATATAATTGCAGAATTTCTAATATGTCGAAATAAAATTAATTCCTCTATATAGCTAAGTTTAAATTATCATTAATTTTATTTATGTCATGTATATATGTGTGGGTGAGTTGGTTAATTGGTTGGTGTAATGGATACCAAGTGATTCAGAATTAGGAATTAGAGATAAATTTGAATTCCAGTTGAGTTCATTGCATTCCATTCACTTATGCACAAATACCCTTGGGAAAGACATGAATCCATCTCTTCTCACTCAGATATGGGTTAAATAGTAAAGCAGACTGGGTTCTTGAGATTGGTTACAAAACCTATCTAGAAGGACAAAACTGCTCAAATGTTTTTTTTTTTGTTAATTCAAAGGGTTTGCAACTCCATATTGTAAAAACAAAAAAACTACTATTTGCTATGGAAAACATATCAGTGTTGCCTAGTATGCTGAGATCAGTGCCACCGTCCCTACTCCTCAGGGAGTGTGTGGGGTTTGTGAGCTGTACCCACCCTCAGGACTTAAGTGAGGGTGAGTCATAGATGTGTAAATATTTCAGATAAAATACAACATCAAGTCAAAACCATAATTCTCTCAATTTTTATTATTTGAGTGACTCAAAAAAAAAAAAAAAAAAATCATAATTTTTATTTAATTCTTAAAGTAATAAAACTACAAAAGCAACAAAATCAAATGTCCTCAGTTCAAAAAGGGGTTGGACGAAGTCCTTTTCAGCACCTCATCATAGATGTCTTTTTCTCCAAAATATTTGATGTGAGAGATGAACACTTTCCTTCTTGTGCAATTAATATTATGACTTAGACAAATTTATCTTGTTTAACTTAATTTCATTAGGCTTTATTAAAAATAAATTCATTTTCGGCAATGAATTTTTTTTCTCTTCATCTTTTTTGACTTTAATTTGATAGGTTCGACAGGCTGATCCAAAAATAGTGACTGCTCTGATCCATCGACACCAATTCATTACAAAAGTAGAAATGGATGCAGAAGATCGGTGGACACCTGTCTGGCAGCGTATAGCATCACGTGTAGGAGATGTAATTCTGGAGGTAGCACATTATGTATTTCTTTGGTATTTGTGTGGAACATCAGGATTTCTTATGAATAGAGATTCCTACTCAGGGTGAGTCTTTAAATTCTTTATTTACCTTGGTAAATTTTGAGCCATTCCTGCTATGTTAAGAAGATTGAGAGGTAATTATTTAGCTTTGAAAAGCGCCCCCCTCCCCTCGTGGAGCTCTAATTCTGATTTTAAACATGAATAGTTATTTTGAGCTGGAGAGTTACAGGGTAACTGAATTATAGTGAATGAAAGGTACGCTATAAATCTTTATGAATACAATTTTCAGCTTAAAATATTTTCTAAGGTCAAGGGCAATAACTCCTTTTAGTAAGACAACAGTTACCTCCTTTTATCGCAAGAACTTGAATGACTGAATATATATATGCAAGAATTACCTCCCTGGCATAAAGTATTACTTTACAAAAAACTATATTGGAAAATACGTCATTAAAAAGAATATATGATTGAGTGGTGTATTATCTAGTAGACACAAAGATGGATGATGGTGAGGGGGAATCTGCACTTCTTGTGGGATTTAAATTAACAAGCAGCAGATTAAGAATTGTGATGTTAGGGTTGATATGGAATAACTTAATTTGCCCTGCTGTTTATCTAAAATTTGGTAATTTAGACAATCTGTGGTTTGATCCAAATTGACAAAATCCTTGGAAAGCAAGTCATTGTAATCAACTTATATCACAGTATTTTGAACCCTGAAAGAATAATATTTTAATCTTGCTGGATATTTTTTTTGGTCATGCAATGTAATAATTTTCAAAGTATTTTTTAAAATCTTACTTGAATTTAATTAATGAATAAATATTAAAAACACTTGGAAAATAAATCTTTATTGATTTCACTTTTTTGTTTTATTTTTGTAAAGGATTTTCCATACATTCTGGCTGAAGCGAGGTTTACGCGTTGTAGTATGGACTGTGAATGATGCCTATGAAAAAGAGTACCTGTTGAAAAGCAGAGGTTGCAGTGTGATAACAGATACTTTGCTTTGAGTATTAACAAACATCTTTAGTCAACTTCTAATGTTAAGATTATTTAAATAAAATTCCTTTAGAGTTGTTTAATAACACTCCTTGAAATGATCCAAGCCCACCCTCACAAACACTAAATGCAATGTCTTTTATCATAGCAAATAGGCAGTAGTGGTGGATATATGCTATTAAATGTTTAACAAAAAGAAAAAAGAACAATATCTTTCATCTTTCACTGGCCACTTATCTCCTTGTAATATGATGATACTAGAGTTTTAAATATGTACAGTTTTCATTTATTGTTTTGCATTAGAATAATAATTACAAGTTACTACCCGGTGAAAGCAAAAAAAAAAAAAAAAAAATAGGCAGTGAGGGGGGGAATAATAAATGAAAATAAATTCTCATTCACAACTATTTTTGTATACCATGTTAAAATTGCAGATTCTGTTAATTTTTTTTTGTACTTCATGAGTTTGAAAAGTTAAATCCTCACCCAACTCCTTTATATTTGTATTTTTTTAAAAAAAATGACCAAAAGTTAAACAGGGGAAAAGTTGTCAGTAAAAAAGAACTCGGAACTATTTTATGTTTTTTAAAATTTTAAAGTTCATCTCTCAAAGCAATTATGTGCCTTGCCTTTTGTATTATTATATTGAAGAACATCCTTAATTCGATGTATCATGAATAATGGAATAAATTCAAATTCTGCAATGGATGACTTGAAAAGCAGATTGGTTAAATTCTAATAATTTGTGATGATAATTTTGATTATGTTGAACCAAATTTTTTTTTTTCTTTTAGAATTTAAAATATTTCCCCCTATATAATGTTTGTGTTAAAATTCAAGACTTACCCCCTATCCAAATGGTGTTATTGTGCTTCCTTCAAGATAGAAAAGTCTCTTGTATCCATATTTTTCATTCTGTTAGGATTTATTAAAAATTTGTCTTGTTGATCTGATCAAAACATCTAAAACGTTTTTTAGTATGACTTCCTCAGTGATTAAATGTCAGAAGTAGATCTCAATTACTATTAATAAAATAAGTTTTATTTTTAAGAAAAAAAAAAATCTGATAATTGTGCATCCAGTCAATATTAAATTGCTTTTCTCAATGATAAAGATGAACACTGAGATGCTCAAATGAATTAAAAGAAAATCATTTCACAACTGACGTGCCTAGGCAGCCAATTGGTTGATAAATAATACCATGCAGATAAACAAAAACAAATTTGTTTTTCTCCAATTGTTACAGAAATGGTGATGGGCTCTTCATACAGATTTACCAGAAAATGGTGTTGCTATAACATGTTGACCACTCCACAAAATAAGTCAAATTTGTGGACATCTGTTCAAGTTTCATGGAAATGAGTTTCACTAACAATATGCATTTGTAACCTAACCTTAATTATTCAGTTGATATTACATTTTTTTGATAAGTATTGAAAAATGTACACAATAACAAGAATTAAAAAAACAAGCCAACACAGTGCTTTAAATTAAGATACGGTAATGTCAGGACATTTGTTTTTCTTCTCTCAGGAAAAACAATGGTAAAGAACTTTGATATTCTTTTTGAAAACATCTACAAAGAGATACGCAAATGTTTGCTCATGTGGTTCTTCTGCTGGATAGATCATGGCACCATCTTTATCCTGTGAATAAGAAAAAAAAAATTATTTGCAAAATATTTTGGAGATTAAATATCTAAAATTTTGAGGTTGTTTCAATATCAAAAACTGAACATATGAGCACACACCATATATAAGTAGAATGACAAATGCACAGCATTCAAGAGTTTTGTTTTAAACTCCTCAGTATGACTAAAAGAAAAATCTGGACAGGTCATGAAGAAAGTCAAATTCTGAATGGTCAGAAGTAAGTTCTCTTGATTCCATAGACATCATCCAGATTACTGACAAGTGTCAGAAATGTTATGAGTACAAATGCAATTTGATTATCAGTGATAATTATTATATATCAAGCTGAAGTTTGAGAACTTTTCAGCAAAGTTAAAATTTTCTGTCTAACAAAGAGTATGATTTAGAGTCATGAAATATTCATGCTATTTCACGTATTTAACAGTTTCCCAAAAATGATTCTTTTCTCCAAAATTCTGATGCAAGCCAGTTAGATGTAGCAACATGTGAGTAGAGAGTTTTGGTTGGTTGGCTTTTATGGCATATCAACCACTGTAGGTCATTTAATGCCAAATTTATATATATAAATAAACGTATAGCTGGCAACATTATCAGAGGCCTTGCTGTTGGATATAGTTTATCGCCATACCCAGGATGCGGGTAAGGTCTGGAAAAAAACTGGGAGTTCACTATTTGCCCATAGCTGGGACCCTAACAGGTGCTACCACCCCAGGTCAGGGTGTACCTGGGAACACCAGCAATTAAAAGGTGGTTCCATGCTTCTCAAAACCTCCTGATCAGAGGCCTTGCTGTTGGGTGCAGTTTAACGTCATACCCAGGACGAGGTTTGGTTTGGTGGGTTTTTTTTTGGTTTTTTTTTATATATCAACCTCAATGGGTTATTTAATGACAACCAGATTTTTACTGCTGGTAATATTTTTTTTCCAAAAATCTATTATTGGTATTAAACCCTATTTTTAGACTTTCATAGTGTTTTGACCCCAGTTTGGGGAGTTAACTATTTGACCATAACTGGGACCCTAACAGCTGCTACCACCCCGGGTCAGGGTGGACCTGGGAACACCAGCAATTAAGAGGTGGTTCCACGCTCTTCAAAACCTCCTGATCAGAGAGGCTTTGCTATCAGATGTTTATCGTCTTACCCAGGACACAGATGTATTTTATCGTCGAGAGTTTTGGTCTATCAACTCAATTACCCAATTCTTCAAAAAGTCTAGTCTTCCTAGCAGTTACATTGTCCAGTGAACAGGTTTTTAAATATGCACAGCAAATTAGTATTATTCTGTATTAAGGAGTACAGAGGAAATGGTCTGCCAACATATCATGGTGGGTTTGAGCTGATGAAACCAAGGAATGTAACTCATCCAAACAAATGTGTAGTAATAGAGCGCTATAGTAGTAAAAGACTGGTGACATTTCATCTGTAAGATAAAGGTTGCTGGGTAGAGAATAATTCATCACCCACAAGACTGGACCATTCTTTTGCAATAACACAAATATATGCTTTCTATTTGAGGTTGAGAGGGACTTAAGCTCCAATAAGTGTTCAAGGCAAGATGCCACTTTGAGAGTATGATCACTCATCAGGATTGGTGCAGGTTTAGGATCTGCTCGGTGGTGGTGATGAAATGTTATGAGCAGCCAGTTTTTTTTTCCCATTGAGCAATGAGAGTGAGATCAACTGGCAGGCACTGGTCATCAAGATAGTTGGAGGGACACCCATATACTGTGCTATCATCTGCATATATACTTACTAAGAATCTGAGATTGTTCTTGGGCAGATAGTTGATATAAATCAGAAAGCAAATAGGACTGAAGAGAGAGCCTTGAGAGACACCAGTATTGATGTCAGTCCTCTGACTGGCCATTAATGATGACCTTCATAGACCTACCTGACAGGAAAGACTTACCCACTGATTCTATAGCTGGATAGCTTGAATAGCAACTCCCTTAGAAATATCTAGGGCATTTACTAGAGATATTTTTATTATCAAGAGCTTCAATGATTCTATAGGTGATAATATTTAAAACATCAGCAGTGGACCTAGAAGAGCAAAAACCATACTGTTTGTTGCTCAGGAGTTTATTTTTGTTGAGGTGTTCAACAGTTTTAATTCTGCTCTACACTTTACTTATACACTTAGTACTAATAATAGAATACCTTTCCATGACATTTTAGTTGACACTAAGAGGCACAATTTTACTACAAAACACGCAAAAAATTTTGTCTTAGTTCTGAAAGTGAATGCTCTCACAAATAGAAAAATAGCTGAAAATACATGATTAACCAAGCAAATAATTTTTTTTCATTACAAAAAAATTGAAAATTATTAAATAAACACCGGTTAACAGTATCCATGTTGTTGACAATAAAATTAGTTTTAAAGAAACAGAAATCCTGAGATAGACAGAAATAAAAACACCATTAACTTATTCTACCGTAACCAGATGCACCTTAAATATAAACAAGACAAAAATATCACTTAATGATTGCAATAAACACCCAACTATTTAAGAATTCCCATGTCATTTAGACGATTACATCTGAAATACTAATCATAAAAAAATTAAATTCTAATACTGATCACACAAGCATGAGATCCTCTCAGTTTTAATAAGTGACAAATTATTTTTAATTAAATTTGTGCACATATCAACCATCACATTACAAACAACCAAAGTACAACTATTAATAAAAGACTAGTAGATAATGCTAAAATTCTTAGCAGCACTAACTGTAAAGAAAACCAGTTATCATACAAATTTGGAACTTCATGATAATGATGTGGATTGTCTATCAAACTCAATATGAAATGTACAATATAATAGATTGCTTCTCCAATGCATGTGGCTGTATTGAGGCTCATAATAAACTTGAACAAGATTAAAGTGAAGTTCACTTTCCCAGCTGCTAAAAGAGCACTGCATTGGATGTAGTTTGGAGTGGATATGTTTATCTATTCTCAAGATGACACAAATTTATGTATTAAAGACAGGTGACATTTAGCAAATTAAAAAACAGATATAATTTGATCAAGGTATCACCATTCAAACCAAAGTCAGTGTTTATCACATGTATGGTATAATACATATACTTGTTGGTATGTTTTTCAGGCCTTTAAACCAATTCCTCCTGAACTTGGTTTAAGATAACACTTTTTTTCCACCCTCGTATCATCTTCTTTCACCCTTAACACCAGAAGGAGTCATCGGGATGCCAACATGCTGAGTCTTTGGTTGCATTAATAAAATGGAGAAAAAAATAAAAAGGACATTTAGAATTAACATCAGAAAGAGACAGCTGAAATTTCTAGGGCACATAATAAGGAAAGAAGGTTTGGAAAATTTGACACTCACAA